GTGCCCATAGCGACCTGAAATTGTTGGATTTCTTGGAGTCGGAGTTATAGGATTTGTGAGCTGTCTGATGTGGAAACCTAATTCTAGTCCTCTGCAAGAACAGCAAGCACTGTGGCCTGTGGAGCCTCCTCTCCAGCCCTTCAGTTTCTTTGTTTCATCAATATCTTGTAAGTCAGACAAAATTTCAGAAATATATTTAATATTCTTATTCTCTGAGGTGAGTAGCTTCTTGGGAAAGCCATGAGTGTGAACACTGGGAATTCACACCTGCAGTCAGTTTTATTATTTACTTGTCAATTGCTTTATTTTTATCAACTGCAAGAGCTCTAGAGAAGACCATGAATTCAGCATTCTGTGTTTAGGTGTTTGCAGGATGGGGGTGGGGCTGTCCTTCAAATGGTATCTTACAAACTTGACAGCTGCTTATCTGGCACCACATTGTCCTTGATCCATAAAACTGATAGTGAACAGTTCCAAGTCTGGTTTCCTCAATGGTTGTTGGGTTGGTTCCAGTCTACTGGAACACTTATTCAGTTATTAATTCAAAGTGCCTTACTGAAATTAATGGGCATAGCATAGAGTCGTGTAGAGCTTTTGTGGCTTGGTAGTAAGGAAGCATGTCCATTAATAAAAAAGGGGGGAAAGTTGGAAAGATACCAGCATTTAAAAACTCTGACTGTTCTTTCAGAGGACTAGGGTTCGATTCCCAGCATCTACACTGTGGCTCACAACTACAACCCTAATCCCATGGGATCTGGTGTCCTATTCTGACCTCTGGAGGTACTGCAGGCACACGGTGCACTGACTTATAGGCGAACATCTAGACACATTAAAAAGTCAGCTGGAGGCCGGGCGGTGGTGGCGCACGCCTTTAATCCCAGCACTTGGGAGGCAGAGACAGGCGGATTTCTTAGTTCGAGGCCAGCCTGGTCTACAGAGTGAGTTCCAGGACAGCCAGGACTATGCAGAGAAACCCTGTCTCGAAAAACCAAAAAAAAAAAAAAAAAAAAAAAAAAAAAAAAAAAAAAAAGTCAGCTGGGAGGTGGTGTCCCACATCTTTAATCCTAGTACTCTGGAGGCAGAGGCAGATTTCTGTGAGTTTGAGGTCAGCCTGGTCTACAGGGCAAGTTCCAGGACAGCCAGAGCTACACAGAGAAACCCTGTCTTGAAAAATCAAAAAGAAAAAGAAAGCCTAATAGGACAGAGGGATGGTTTGTTATCTTCTCAATTCCCTTGAAGTCAGACAAGAACCTGTTTCACTGTTTCATTTCTTTCTTTCTTTTTGAGACAAGGTTTTACTATGTAGCTCTGAATGTCCTGGAACTCCCAGGCTGGCCTTGAACTCAAGAGATTCACCTGCTTTTGCCTCTACCTCTGGAATTAAAGGCATGCACCACCGCATGACATTCTTTTCCCTTATCTAGGACACTGTGTGTGCACTGTCCCATAGTGAGCTTTTCTACTTCCTGGAGAACACTATATAGATCACTGCTACTTCCTTGAGGCAAGGTATTGTTATCCCTTTCTGTTTTGACTTAAATATGTTAAGAAGCCACACAATAACAAACCTGGTGAATACAGTAAAAAGTTTCTTCCTTCTTCCCATGTATAAAAGGACCAAAAATAGAAATTTGTTTTTAAAATAAAAAAAAAAAAGCCAGACAGTGGTGGCTTGTGGCAAAGGCGGGCAGATCTCTGAGTCAGTGGCTTTTCCTTTTCTTAACTGACAGCAGGCATTTCTTAGTCCAATGCAGGGTCTCTGCCTCTTAAAATGTTCAGAAAAAATTCCATGGCAACCTCTGGCTAGCCCCAGAAAGTCATCCAACTGTTATTACATGGGCAGTATGTTAACTGGTGATACATGGACAGTAGTTTTTCTCAAGTGAACTTCTGTGTGCCCCTGGAGAATTCAAATCCTAAGTACTTATCAGACTTTTGACTGATTTGTGCTTGTTCTTACAGGGATTACGTCCCCTAACTGCCAAGAAATTTAAGCTCTGAAAAGTATTTTCACTGGTAGCCTCCTTGCTACCTTTAACACACACACTCTGTAGGAGACCTTTAGTTAACAGTCCCTTAGGTCTCCGACTAGACCTTCTCAAAGGTCGTATGTAGATACTTAGACTCTTATGAAAGCATAGTCCAATAAAACTGTTTGGCTTGAGTTTTGGGGCTCTGTCACTGTGGTGGCTATTCCTCATTGTCAACTTGACTATATCTGGAATGAACTACAATCCAGAATTGGAAGGCTCACCTGTGATCCTGATCTTGAGGCATAGTGGCTATGGAAAGCTTAGGCCCAGGCAAGGTAGTACACGTCTTTAATCTAGATCCAGTCATGTTGGTACACACCTTTCATCCGGGCCACACCTTCTGCTGGAGACCTACATAAGGACATTAGAAGAAAGACTTGCTCTTCTTTGCCTGCTTGCCTTGTGGAACTAAGCAACTGCTAGATCCTTGGACTTCCATTCACAGCTGTTGCTGACCATTGTTGGGGAGTTGGACTACAGACTGTATCAACACCAAATTCCCTTACTATATAGAGACTACCCCTAAGTTCTGTGACTCTAGAAAACCCTGACTAATAGTCACTCAAAAGCAATAGTCATCCCCCGCCAGATTTAAAAAAGGGATGCTTTATGTCTCATATAATACACTAACATGTCTTCTCAAAGGGGGTTAATAGAATGTAAGTAAGGGACAAGGAGAACAATAGGCAGGAATCCTTCAGTATTTGACTTATAGTCCTGATACAAAACCATTTTACATAATTTAGCATCTGCACTAGAACGAAGGGGATGGTATCTCAAGAACAGCTTGGTCTTATAACTTTTTTTAAATTAAGAGACCTGCCAGAAATGACTACATGCTTTTACCGGTATCCTGAGGTTAGGTATTTCATGGCCTTCCTTTAGAATTACTCAAGCAGTCACAGCAGTGTGTGTATTCCCTGCCTTGTGGCTGCTCTATGACTCTCTTATGTGGTCTAAATTTTCTCTTAGTCCCCTTAAAGACTTGAGTTTTTTTTGTAGCAGGGACATCTGTAGAGCACAGGCAGGCTCAGGTCAAACTTTTACCCCTAGTCAGCCTGGTGGAAAGTTACTTATTACTGTCTCGTGAGCAAGTCAAGTAGAGGAACTGGGCACTCACGCATATATACAGTTATGCTGAAAACTTGTATCACCAAGGTTGCATCTCAAACACTACAGGAAGGCTAGGGTGAGGTGTTTCCTGAATCCCTCACAGTTTATTATTACTAACATGTTTGAATGCATATGTGTGCATGTTGCAGCACAAATGGAGAGGTCAGGGTCAGGGGACAACTTTCAGGAGTCTGTTCTCTTCTTTCACCACACATTCTGGGATTCACCTTAGGCTGTCAGGCTTGCATGACAAGAATTTTCCCCACTGAAACCTCTCTTTTTTTTTTTTTTACATGAGGAGATGGTTGTCAATGATCATTCACATATTCATGAGAAAAGTAATTTGTTCCTTACTGTCATTTGTACCATAAACCAATGTGGGAGATATAGAGGTCATTTAAACTATAGATACTTTTTTTTTTTTTTTTTTTTTTTAAATTCAGGGTCTCACTATATAGCCCTAACTGCTCTGGAGCAAAGAAAGTTTGCTTCTGCTTTCTGAGTGGTAGAATTAAATACATGCTACTACACTTAATTATTTCATTTTCACATGTTTGTGTGTATATATGAATGTGTAAGACAGTGATAAATACCCTAGAGCAGGAGTGATGGGCTGTTTTGAGTTGTCCAATACTGGTGCTAGGAACCAATCTCCAGTTCTAAAAGCAACAAGCAGTCTTGGCCACTGAGTCATCTTTCTAGCCCCAGTTTAACAATTTCAAATTGTTGTTTTATAGGAAGAGGGACCTTGTGAATTTCCAGAATTAAAAAAAAAGAAAAAAGGTAGCCTATACTTTTTATTCAGAGGCAGAGGCAAGAAGATTGTTTGGTAGTATGTGATCTGTCCACTGTGAGGGTGTGCCTCAGTGGTAGAGCACATTCTCAGGGCCTTGGATTTGATCCCTAGTACCACCCCATGCCAAAATAACAATAACAATAACAATAATAATAAATTTGTCAGTTTTGGCAAAATAACATAAGGCTTCTTGGAGGTCTTCTTTTCATGTCTTCTCTCTTTAAAAGACGGGCATGTGAGATCTAAGAGAACTGTTGGGTTTCTTCAGTCTTCATCAGAAATTCCACCTTCTATGATTTGAACAGTAGAGCTTTAACCTTGTTTTTCCAATTCTTTTATTAGATTCTTCAGCTTGACTTTTTGCTTACGTAGTGTGTGTTGTGTGCACACGGATGTGCTGGCCTGGTGAATTATGTGGAGTACAGAACAGACAACAGAAATCTATCTCTATCAGCCTGTGCTTTATCAGAATGAGACAGGGCCTCTTCACTGAATGAATGGGAAGCTTTTGGCTAGGATGGCTGACCAGTGAGCTCCTGGGATGTACCTGTCTGTCCTCCCAGTGCTAGCATTACAAACATGTCCAGCTGTGTGGGGCTTATTTTTCTCATCTGGGTGCTAGGGATTTGAATTTATGGCCTCCTGTTTGCCGAACTGAGCAGTCTCTCCCATCTTTGGCACCCTTAATTCAGCAACCTTCTCCCTTACAGTATTGCACCGACTTCTTAAAGAGGGCTGATCCCTGCCTGGGTCCTCTGGGTTCTTCTAATCCTTTGCTTCCATTCCAGGCTTCTGTGAATGCTCCTGTAAGCTGGCCCATCACTGTATTTACCACTGCTCTTTTGAATCCTGTGCTTGATTTTGTCATAGAAAATTTGTTTTGTTAAATGCCATTTCTTCTTCTTCTTTTTTTTTTTTTTTTTTTTGGTTTTTCGAGACAGGGTTTCTCTGTGTAGCCCTGTTAAATGTCATTTCTACTATGCATCATTACAGACATTTTTCCCTCCTGAACTTAAGGCCTATCGAGGCCAAGAGACATTTAAAAAATAAAAAAGACATTCTTTTTTTTTCTAGTCTTTAATTTAAGCAGATCAGTTTCAAAGGATGCAACTTGGACCCAAATGGAGTGAGTTACTCAAGGCACAGTACAGACAAAACAGATAATATTAAACCGACAAGTGATTCTTGCAGAAAACGAAAGGGTGAAGTCCAACAATTCCTTGTACGTCTTGGAAACGAGTGGATTAAGTACAGAAGACAGCAACATCAGTCAGTACTCGGGATGCTGAGGCAGGAGACTTTCCCCGAGCTTGATGCTAGCCTGAGCTAGAGAGAGACTCGGTCTACAAACAAACCCAGACAAAATAACAACGAAACAACCCCGACCCCCCTCCCACCCCAATCCTGCGGTTGCTCAAGTGTAGGCAGGGCGACTCACCCCATCGGGGAAAAGCAAAGTGTATGGAAGGTGAAAGCGCCTCTGCGCCAACAACCTTGCGCCCAAGGTGGACAGCGTCGTCGGGAAGACGAATAGGAGATGTCTCCAAGTTGGCACGTACAAGGACTCGCCCCTGCCCAAGCTGGTTTCAGGGTAGGCCCACTACCTGGAGAAAACTTCAGAGAGAATACCAAGTAGCCCCTCCCACCGGCAAGAACAAGCTTATTCCCAGGATCTTGGGCGTTTCCACTGACGTTACTTCCGGGAAAAGTAACCTTTCTTCGGCGGTTGCAGGGCTGCTGAGATCTCGCGACATTTCCTCCCGCGAGATCTGCTTGCTCACTCCAGCGATGACATCCTCCTCCTCCCCGTCGCCTTTCGGCAATCTTCGCCAGTCCCAGCCTCGACCAATCTGCACTCAGATAGTATAGATGAGGGTCTCCCCCAGAACCCCGGTCCGCGCGGGGCGTCAGGCGGCAGCGGCGGGGTACAAGCTGCACGAGGCTGACCGTAGCGGCACTGTCGGTGGACACGGGCTAGCGACTAGCAGTGAGCGTGGGCGGGGCGGGGGTAAGCCAGCCGAGTACCTGCTCGATTGTTCTGGCCTGGCTATGGCGCCTCTCCTCCCCCCCGCCATGGCTCCCCGTGTCCCTGCTCCGCTCCTCTCAGTGAGTGAAAGTGGCCGCCGCCGCCGCCGGCCCAGCGCCCGCAGCCGCCTCAGCGCCGCCGCCATCTTGGGGTCCCAGGAGCCGCCGAGGGAGCGAGCTAGGAGCGTTCCCGTCCAACGCAGTCACCGTCCCTCGGCCTCAGAGAGCGAACCGCGGCTCCACAGTCGGCGGGGCGACCCCCCCCTCCGGACCCCGCCCGCACCCCGCCCCCCCTCCGCCGCCGCCGCGGCGGCGGGGCCCCTCGGCCCGAGGTGAGGTTGAGTAGACGTGGGCGAGTGGACGGAGGGGGTGTAGTGTAGGCCCCTATGCGCCCCTCTCTGCGGGCGACGACTGGGCCGCTTCTTAAAGGGGCCGTCGCCCCCGGCCCTTGGATTTGTTGGGGTTAGTAGAGAGGATGGGTGTGGACACTCCCCATAGGGTTGGGACCTCAGAGACCTGGGCCTCGGCTTTTCTGTTGTACCTCCGGATCTCTGGGGTTATGGGTGACCTCAGCTACCCGAGGAAGCCCGTGGAGCACCCACACGTGGGGAGTGTTAGACCAGGTGCACGTGGGACCCGGTGGGGCGGTGTCGGTCTAACACGTGTGTGGGTTTGGAAGTGGGGAGGGGCAGGGCGGAGGCTTACTGGGCTGGACTAGGAACCGGGTTAAGATTCTACCTGTCAATTTAAACGAATGAGATCTGTGGGCTTGATAGAGTATCAGTTTATGAGGAGCGAGCCACGATACGGGTAAATGATGCAAGTTGCTAGTTGGTGTTAGATGGGGACAGGCTGACACGTGCACAGACTTAGAAATGTGTCTGTGACATCCCTTCTGGGTTTTTGAGGCTTCTGCAGTGCATCTAAGCAAGTGTCATCTTACTTTGACAATTCGTTCTTGAGCTTGCTGATGAAAAGTACTACTTCCGTAATCACGGAGGATGGAAGCCCCCTACAGTTTAGAAGTTGGATATTGCCGAAGAAGGCATTTAACTATTTTAGTTAAGAACCAACTGTGCTCAGGACTCTTTGATTTACATTCTTGTACTTCTTAGGAAGGAATTTGGAGGTTGAACTTAAACCATCCCTGGTGGTCAGCTCAGTTTTCCCAGTTAGTGATACATGACTTACATTCCTAATTTTCACTGTGGCTTACTGATGCTCCCTTCCTTCCGGTCTTGTCTTGTCTTGTCTTTTTTTTTTTTCTTCCCTTTTTTTCTTTTTCCTGTTTGTTTTTTGTTTTTAGTCTGGATGGCCGGGAACTTGATATCCTCCTGCCTCAGCCTCCATGGTGCTGAGATTATAATTGTGCACTTCCATCCTCGGCTTTTTCCTCAAAGGAGTAACACCTTTGTCAGATATGATTGCAGCTCAGGTGAATCAGGCACATTCAGAAAACTTCAGTATATGCAGAGTTGTACAACTATCACCATCATTTAACAGTGACTTTAAAAGAAGGCCTAGAAGCTTCTTAAATATCACCTTTTCCTCTTTGCACAGCACTTGGTAGCAATATATTTTCTTAGTTTTTTTTTTTTTTTAAATGACACAGGGTCTCATAATGTAGCTCTAGCTATCTTGCAACTCACTATGTAGACCATGCTGTCCTGAAATTCAAATATATACTCACATTTTACTAGCTGCTTTCATGTAACGTGTTCAAGGTTCATATATGTTATAGCATGTAAACTTTGCTGTTTTTCTTTTATTGCTGTTCCTTTTTTTTTTTTTTTAAAGATTTATTTTATATATGTATGTGAGCCTGAGTGTGTGATGTACCCATGTGTATGCCGGAGCCCATGGAGGCCAGTTAGAAGAGAGCATCAGGTCCCATGGAACTGGAGTTACAGGTGGTTGTGAGCCACCATGTGGTTGCTAGGAACCAAACCTTGCTCTTAAGCGAGAGCAGAAAGCACTCTTAATGCTGAAATGTCCCAGCTCCCCATTCTGGTTTTGTATGAGCCAGGGTAGTTTTGAACTCATAATTCTCTTGCTTCTGCCTCCTAATAAAGGTATGGGCTATCTAGTTTTCTTTTATGCTAGAAATTCACGAGCACCCTCTTCCTATAAAATAACAATTTGAGATTGTTAAATTGGTGTTTTTTTGGCATTGGCTTCTTCATCTTTGTACTTAACCAGCTTTGGGCTAAAACCTTCAAAACTTCTCAAAAAGCAGAATTTGAATTTGCTTTGGACCCAGCACGCTGATGAACAGGCTAATGAAGTGGTGTGTAGGCAAACTTTGTTGGGGGCTGCCTCACCCGCTCACAAATCCTATTCTTCCTTGCACTTGTCTGAGCACTGTTCATTTTGCTCATCTCTTTTGTGCTGTGCTCTTAGGTCTGTGGTGGTTTTGACTGTTCTGAACAGCATTTTTTTTCCTCCGTGTTACTTTTCCCTAAACAACTGTTCACATCATGCTTATCTTGTGTCCCATTTAAATATGACCTAATGGTGACTTAAAGTATGCGGAGATGTGTGCTTTATGTCAAACAGTTCATCATTTGGTAACTGTGAGTTTTGGTGTGGGAGAGCAGCACTGGAACCAGCCTTCAGGGTACTGAATAATCACCATGTACTCATGAGTGACATTTTGGAGTTACATATAGGACCAAGTCTTTGCCAAATAGCCCAGGAGTATAGTAGTTCATACCTTATGGATTCGTATAAGCCCACTGTATAATAATGTTTACATGACAACAGAAACAGCTCAAGGTCACATTTCTCAGAGCATATCTTTGTCAGTAAATGATGTGTATGTGGTTAGTAAAATCTGCAGATCTCTCTTTGAGTGGGGGAGGGGTAAAACAGGGTCACAAAATATTGTAGCCCAAGGTGGCTTGGAACTTACTGTATGAACCATGGTATTCTCAGATTTTCAGCAGTCCCAGCTGTGAGCCACCTTGCCTGGTATCTGTCTATATTCTAAAATGAATTTTTGTTTTTAAGAGATTAAGTTTTATTTAGTTTACTGTGTTTTTTCCTCTTTGTCAGTGGTTCTCAAACTTGCTAGTGCTTCTAGTTTGTTAGTTTCATTGCTATTTCATAACTGTAGTTTTGCTTTTGTTATGAATAATAATTTAAATATCTGTGTTTTCTGATGGTTTTAAGCAACCCCTCTGAAAGGGTCTTTCTTGCGAGGAATTCAAACCAAGTTAAAGAAAATTATTTACATACATATACACACGCACACATATACATATTTACTTTTATTTAGTATGTGTATTTATGTGTACATGCCATATCACACGTGTGGAAGTCAAAGGACAATTTGCACAACTTGTAGGAGTTTTTTTTTTTTTCTACCATATGGGTTCCTGAGGTCAATCTCAGGTCATTCAGTTTGGAGGCAAGTTTCTTTGCCCCCTTAATCATCTAGCCAGTTCTCAAATTAGTTTAGAACATAGTTTTTTTTTTTTGATAGGGAATGTGACTAGAAAAAAATTGTCTGACTGGACTGGGGTGTGCTTCAGTGGTAGAGTACATTTCAGGGCCTTGATCCCTAGCACCACCCTCTGCCAAATAGTGATAATGACAACAAGAACCCAAACCACTGGTGGTGCACGCTTATAATGAGTGCATAGGAGCCTGAAGCCAAGAGAATGAAAAGTTTTTCTTTTGAGACAGGGTTTCTTAGCCTTGGCTGTTGACCAGGCTGGTCTCAAACTCAGAAATCTGACTACTGGGATTAAAGTGCCACCACTGCCCAGCATTTAAAATAATTTGTTTATTTTGGTTTCTCTGTTTTTGTTTTTTTTTTTTCTTTCTTTTCTTTTTTTTTTTTTTTTTTTTTTGAGACAGGGTTTCTCTGTGTAGCCCTGGCTGTCCTGGAACTCACTCTGTAGACCAGGCTGGCCTGGAACTCAGAAATCCGCCTGCCTCTGCCTCCCAAGTGCTGGGATTAAAGGCGTGTGCCACCACTGCCTGGCTATTTTGCTTTCCCAAGACAGGGTTTCTCTGTGTGGCCTTGGCTCTTCTGGAACTAGCCCTGTATTATTAGGCTGGCCTCAGGGTCTTCCTCCTAAGTGTTGGGATTGCTGGGCTGTGACTTAGTTTTAAAAATAATTTATTATGTGCATTAATGTTTCCTGCATATATATCTGTATAAGGGTGTCAGATTACTGCAACTGGAGTTACAGACAATTGTGTGCTGCCTTGTGGGTGCTAGGAATTGAACTCAGTTCCTCTGGAAGAGCAGCCTCTTAACTGCTGAGCCATCTCTTCAGCCCCAGAATCAAAAGTTCTAAGCTCGATGTCAGTCTGGGCTATGTAGTGAGTTCCATAAACACTTTACCCTCTGAGCCACTTGGTATCCTGAAGACAATGTTTACCCATTTATTTATTTTTATTTTTTTTAAAGATTTATTTATTCATTTAATGTATCTGAGTATACTGTTGCTGTCTTCAGACACACCAGAAGAAGGCATCGGATCCCGTTATAGATGGTTGTGAGCCACCATGTGGCTGCTGGGAATTGAACTCAGGACCTCTGGAAGAGCAGTTGGTGCTCTTAACCGCTCAGCCATCTCTCCAGCCCTTATTTAGATTTTTCAAGACAATTTTTCACCGTCTAGCCCTGTCCTAGGACTCATTTTGTAGACCAGGCTGGCCTTGAACATACAGAGATCCACCTGCTTCTGTCTCCCAAGTGCTGAGATTAAAGGCTGAAGACAGTTTTTTTTGTTTTGTTTTGTTTTCTAGACAGGGTTTCTCTGTATAGCCCTGGCTGTCCTGGAACTCACTCTGTAGACCAGAATGGCCTGGAACTCAGAAATCCGCCTGCCTCTGCCTCCCAAGTGCTGGGATTAAAGGTGTGCGCCACCACCACCCGGCCTGAAGACAGTTTTTAAAGTTGACTATTAAACCTCAGAATTTTGATACGATAGGTGTTACTATTCAGAAGATGAGAAGAGATGAAGCATTGCTATTAAAATCTATTATGAGGAGCTGGAGAGA